CCCACTTCTGGTCATCTGAAGAAGTGGGCTGTGCCCACGAAAGCTCATAATATCATCTACATGTTTTGTTAGTCTTTAAAGTGCTACCAGACTATCTGTTGTTTTTTAAGTTTATCCTGCACAGACTAACTCAGCTACTCCTCTGAAGCTTTTGTACAAAATTAACACATGACCTCCTTGTTCTCAAAAGCTGCCATCTGAAATGTCATAGGCTACAGAGGATGTGAGCCTCACCTGATATACCTAGGCCTTGATCCATTCTGATTCTGCAGAAAGCAATATATTGTCTTGGTAGGGCCTTCAGGTACCTCTACGATCATGCGTTAACCTACCAGATCTTATCTACTGCACCAGGATAGCTTTGTTACTTAACAAAAGGGATCAGTATAAGCAAAACCCTGACAGCATGACAAACTGCTATGTATTTCAAAATAATCACCCCTCCTTGATGGACCTGTGAGATCTTATGGCTGGCTAGGAATACCTCAGTAACACAGTGAAAGGACAAGAGCCTAAAGACAGTTCAAAAACTTCCTCAAGAGGCAGTCTATAAATGTGAATCAGTCCAGAAGGAAGGCTTGGAAACATTTTGTCATTTCTTCTCTGAAGGGGCAAAAGATAAAATAAGGAAAGAATTCCTTGTGTGTATAGACAGTTCTACCTTAATATTATTTTAACATTTTCTTGTAACCCGTCTACATATAGCTATTTAAACATATGTCAAACTATGCATGAGATGACACATCTAACTGAAGAATAAGCTTAATTGGTCAAAGTTCCAGGACACACTGTACTGAGCTATAAAGAAACACAGTCTCATATATTAGAAGTGACAAGTTACAGAAACTATCTGAAATTCCTGGAAGAGGTAAGACTGAAATTAGAATCATTGCCTAGGGACAATTGCTGCTGTCAGACTTTATAATTAAAGAGATCATCTCTGTACTGTTGTAGATGGATGAAAGATACACCTATATAAGCTTTGATCCTGACTTTGGCAGGCTCATGTTAGAGGATTGTCTAATAAGTATTAGCCTCTTCAATAAAAGATATTCAACAAGGCAAAATACAGGGCATCTAAGGATTCAACTGTCATGTACAGAAGGTTCTGAAACTTCCCCAGAGAAGGAAAAATGTTTTCTATGATGTAACTACATGGCTTGGAGAAAACGAATACATTCAGAAAACTCCCTCTTTTACCTGTGAACTGTTGGGTACCAAAGGCAGAGAGGAATTTAACACAGAGGAAGGACTTGACACATTAGGTAAGAAACATGAACAGTCCGAAGGAGAAGCAACTCCAGAAGGATCAGCAGCAGGTGGGTAACAATCATACATATGGAATCCCAGCAGCTACTTTCCACTTGTGGTTATTGATGGAGTCTCACTTTGCTTTATTATCACAACATTTATTTTTGGCTGAACTGATGATAATACTTCCCGTAGGGGAAAAGGCAGAAAGGAAGGCACCTTGTTTCTTATCCTTTAAAGATGATGCTTGATTTACCAAGTGACTAATCCAACAGCAAACTTAAATATACACGAGCATTCAGAGATAAATCTCCTGGATACTATCTTGCCTGTCTCCTCACCTCCACCCCACTCATACACACCAGCTGTCGACACACATCTCACTCACCTTTTCCACACAACTCATCCTGTTGAAATCAATGGGATGACTCATTGGCTGTTTCTAGACTGCAGGGTTTTTTCAAAAGAAGTAGCCTTTTTTCGAAAAAACTTCACCAGTGTCTAGATTACAGCCGCTTTCTTTCTAAATTAAATCGAAAGAACGCGGCTTTTCTTTCGACGGCAGCACTCATTTCACGAGGAAGAATGCCTTTTTTTTAAATTGTTCTTTCGAAAAAAGGCGTTCTTGAATGCAAACAGGGCTTTTTCGAAACAGAGCATCCAGACTGCCTGGGTGCTTTCTTTCGAAAAAGTGGCTCACTTTTTCAAAAGAAGATGTTGCAGTCTAGACGCTCTCTTTCGAAAGTGGCTTTTTCGAAAGATTCTTTCGAAAAAGCCTCTTTCAAAAGAAGCTTGTAGTCTAGACGTACCCATTTGGTCTAGGATACATATAGATAGATTCTGTTTCATTTTACAACTGAGGATCTGGTTCAAATACATACAAATACTCTAGTTTTAATTGGCCCATTTATGAGACCTTGTGGATGATATTTCCAAAGCATCACTTGCTGGAATGCTGCACAGAATAACTACCTGGCAACAGAGAATCATGGTCTCATCTATATAACGTTTTTTAAAGAAGAAAAAAAGCTTTTTCAAAGTGTAGCCAAAATTGAGATTATAAAAGTTAAGCATTTACTGTGCTTCCCTCTTACAATAAAGCAAATGCAGAACGATTTCATCAGTATCAGATAATAGACTTGCCTATAATCAGAGAGGTATTTTAATAACTTTCCTAAAATATGCATCCATGTAAAAATGAAGCACAATAGAAAAAAATCCAGTACAAAAGTAATAAAATATAATCTATTATCTCAGCTCATTTTGGTTAAGAAATAACACCACAATACAATACATGAGGCCTCATGAAAAACAGGCAGGTAGAGATTTATAGTCTTATCCGTTTTCAAGCGTGAGGCTGAGTGATAAGTGGCAGGGAAAAGCACATAATTAAAATCATATTGGTTTAGGGAATAAGAATTAGCTTTACAGAGAAATTGTTGCACTGCCAGGCTGCATGGGAAGCAATGTGGGTCCACAGCAACCCTCCAGTGCAGCAAAAGGAAAGCCAGTTTAAACATTTAACTGATGTGCCTGACATGAGCTTTGGTATCATAGCCTACTTCCCTATGGCCTGACTCTTCCAAACTACTTACGCTATATGTAGGGAGAAGTCAAGAGCAGATGGCAAGGTGAGAGAAAGAGATGGATTAGAAATACAAAGATGAGGAGCATAAACAATTCAAGAAGAGGGTCTGAGCTTTTGAAACAGTGTGGGGATTGAGTAGTTGGGAGGGGGGAAGAAACCGCATAACAGGAGAAGATAAAACAAGACTTATATAGTCAGGCAGACTACATTTTCAATCTTGGGCCTTCAACATGTATAAAACAGAAAGGATCAAGTGTCCTTTTTTAATAATAGGGCCAGATCCTTGGATGGAATTAAAATCTGATCTGGCATTGTCTGTTTCCAGATTGAGGACTACAGGATTGAGCTCTAAATAAATGGTAACACATTGTTACTTACAATAATGATAACAATTCTATTTAGTAGGTGCCTTTGGCACTATGCAAATCTTGAAAATGGGATGCTGTATTTTATTCCTCCTTTAAATCTGTTTCTCAGGTGCAGTGTCTAGTTCTACTGCTGGTTTGCATAATGCATCCTGGGACACATATGCTGCGGTTTCCATGATCCAGGATTTAAAAATTCTGAGCTCTGTCTATACTAGCACACCACATACTACAGTGGCACCATTGGTGGACACTGGGTTTGAAAAGTTCCAGGCAGCTGTGTCATTGCTAATATCAATATGGTAAAAATCATCAGCATGATATGGCCTCGTGTAATTTCTTGAGATCAAAGTATAACATGCCTCTTGAAAAAAAATGAGACCACAAATATTTATTCATAGGCCACCTGAAAATGAGGCATGGATTTAAATGTTTCAGATCAAATCAAAGGAGTTACCCAGCTGTGCCACTTGGTGAACTGATTAAAAGCAGAAAATAAACAATTCAACAGTGTTTTACAAAAATCCTGTTAAAAAACTGAATACTGTATTCTAGAAAGCTGAACCATCAAGTCTCAATTGCAATAAATACCAATGAAACTGATTTGTAATAGATCATTCTGATGTACAAGGGTGTCTGAAGTGATATTTGTCTCCTAATTTAGTGGGAAAGAGCTGTAACAAAATTGTTTCTACTTGAAGTCTGCATTGTTCTTAATTTCAGACTTAGTGAAACACATCCTCAAACTCTACAGCGATGAATTGAACAAAGCCTTAGATTATTACAAATCCAGCCTTAGTTTTTCAGGGACAAGGAAAGTTGGACCAGACACAAGTCTTGACCTCCCTTTGGGGCTGGATCCTGTTCCCAGTTAAGTTAGTGACAAAATTGTAATTGACCTTACTAGACACGAGATCAGAATCAGATCTTATAAGATTGCATTCTATATTGTGTATTGCTTAACTAAAACATTAGATCTCCTCAGAGAAAAGTGAGAAATAGTTGTGTCATATTTTGTGTTTGATTATAGGAGGAGCTAAGAGTATTCAGTACCCCCACCAAAATGGGCTTTTTCTGGCCCATTTTCTGGAGAATAGAGTTGGTTGATAATTTATTGACACACATTTTTTTCATTGGAAAATGGCAATTGGTTGATAAGGTCAGTTTTGACAAATTTCTCATTTTGTACAAATTTTGGTAAACAAGTTTTAAAAGTATTGAAATGTTGAAATTAAATTTTTCTGGTTCAAAGTAGTTTCAAAATATAAGCCAGTTATCATTTTTTAAAATTAATAATTTAAAAGGTGAAAATCCAAACAAAACAATTAGATAATATAAAACCAAAATCTTTCAATTGACTGGAACCCAAATATTTTGGGATTATCAGTTTGCAAATGTTTTGAGGTTTTGACACTTGATCATGATTCACGATGGGAAATTTTTCAAAATCTCAAAGTTTTTCCCAGCACAGAAAACTCTTTCTCTAGTCATTTCTGTGTTTTTCCTAAAATAACAGCCTATATCTAGACCTATGGAAGAGCTCTATGTAAGCCAAAATTTTGTCTCACCAAAAGAAATTAGCCTAATAAAGGATATTATCTCACCCACCTTTAATTTCCTGGGATCAACATGCTGCAACAACACTGGAAAACCTAATTCTTAAAAGGCAAAACTCTCTTTAACCCCAGAGGCGAGTACAGCATTAAGTTTTGATATTTTCACTGTTCCAATGTATCAATTATTCTGCAATACATAAAGCTAACACCCTAAGGTACCATGAAATGACCATCTCTTACCTTTAATCTTTCTGTTACGCCATCGGTGAAACTGACTGTGAATTCAGCAATTTTTGGCACTCTGAGTTTTCCTTTGTTCTTCTGGTCAGGCTGATATTCTGTTCTTGTTTTCACGATCACCTGAAAAATGTCAGTGATTTTAAGCTTTAAGTGAAAAGATGTTTTTGTTATCTTAGAAAAAGGCTTTTCTGTATGTCATTTCATTGGACACTCTCAGATGTGTTACAAACATTAATGCAATTGGAGAACCAGGTAAAATAGATTAGAATAGTTCAGTAAAATAACTTCATCCATCATTGAAATTGGGGCCACATCTGAGATGAAACATTAAACTGTAGAACTACACAAAAGCATAGAAAATCACATACTATTGAATCTGCAAAAGGCTTTCCAATGGATTATATATAGTTATTTAAGTTGTGCTTGGACTTTGAGATTACGACTTGTGCTGTTTAATAAGCTACAGGACCAAAGACATAATGTTGAAATCCCACTCAAATGACAGAACTTGCAACAGCATGGCCCATTTCCCCTCTTAAAAAGGTATAAAAAACCCAAACCTGTGAGGCGCTGAGCACTCACAATTAGGCCCAGAGGCACCAATGTCACTTTCCACCTTTTCCTGAAACGTTCTGAAAAGAGCTGACAAACCACGTTCCTGTTTAATTTATAAGACTGATGGGAGATAATCCCGGGTACTATAACTACAGGTTTTTAAAGGGACCGTGTCAAATTATTAACACTTCAATTTGATCCACATTAAACCTATTTATATTCTAGTGAGAATAATGCTAAATATTTTATATTAAACTCACAAAAAAGAATGTTACACACTGAACATATGACTATTCCTAGAGCTGACCCGAAGACAAGCACACAAAGGCGTACTCTGACAGCTGTTGAGAGATGTCATTTCTATCCCCCCCTCCTTTTTTTTTTTTTTTTTTTAAAGAACCTAGAACACTACTGGAGAGAGAAATGGCACAAAGTTTCTAAAAGTAGGGCTTCCACAAAAAGGCAAAAGACTCATGTGAGAAACAAAATTCTGGAGCTCTGAGGAACTTAATCATTCAAAGAATGGGAATTTCTTGGCAATCCCTAAAAACTGTTGAAGAAAATTCCCCAGTAACTGTAAAATGAAGAATATCAAGCCTGATTTGGACCAGAAGGTGTCCCTAAAATTCTCCTTCTTCACTTAAATCATATGAAACAGAGGAGGAAACCACTGTGGGTTCAAATGCAAAACATATAAAAGCCAATATTTAAATGTTAAATAATATTCCTTCCATTTTATTTTTTACAGTAGCAATCACAACAGCCTTTAAGACAGTTAGGAGGAGTGATTCAAATGCATTTATATTAAAATAGCTTTTCAGAACACAGTGAGCCCAGTCTGAGCCCTGGTAGCACTACACTAATATTGGTGAAGCAACACCAGTTGCTTGGCACATTTGAAATGACACAGCAGTTTCTATGCAGTGGAGAGTAGTGTAAGGTTCAATCCTATGTGATCCTTACTCAGTTATCACTCAGACAAAACACCCACTGATGTTAGCGTGAATTTGCTTGAGTAAGGATGAGTTAAAAGTAAAGGATCTGAGGATTTCTCCAAAACAAAGCTGAGAATATTCAAACCCATACCTAATTGGGCCCTAATTCTTCCTCTTTGCCGTTTGTAAGCACTACCTGTAAAGCACCTGCAAATCAGTTCTCAGAAATACCTTATGTTCTATTTTTAAACCAACCATTCACAATACCCAGATCCCTTCCACTCTGCTGTTTCCAGCTGCATATATTTTTTCATGTAATTGCAAAAAGCAATGCAGAAGTAAGGCAACAGTGTTCGTTTTCTTTCTACAGTGTCTGATTTATTTCCAACATAATCCTTTTGACTTCTTTCACATTTCTTTCAATTGTTTAATGTAGATCTTGTGTGCAGAGAAATTCCATAACTGAAGGTGAGAGGGTTTTCCCTTATGCTCTCACAGTAGGCCTCAATGCAGAGCTATAAAGTATTAAGAGCCTTGCTTGTTTCTATATATAATTTATACTTTTCCCCTGCACATTCGTTGTTTACCCAGGTTTTCTTACACACAGTTTTACTTCAGCCAAGGACCTCTCCATCATAAGGGCTTAGCTATGCCAACTACAACCAGGAATCAAGTTTGATATGTTGAAAATAAATCTAGTCAAGCCCATACTATCTACTGAAGGATCCCCACTGCACTATTTTGTAACAGTCTTCTCAGGAGGAGGACAGAAAAAAATCCCAATCCCCAGTTATCAGGGAAACTACTTGCACCACCTCCACTGGTTGCTAGTCTAGCAGTTAAACCTTTGTATGGGTGGGGTCCTAATTACTCTACCAATCAGATTAATTCACAGGGCTGTGCTAGAGCTGTAATAGAGGTGTTCAGGAATGCTCTTCTATTACATATGGTCTGGTACATTCCCAAGGCCAGATATTTACTCCCCAAGGCTATGTCTACACTGTTGGCCTCTTGCGCAAGAATAGCCATTCTTGTGCAAGAACCCACAGAGCATCCACACTGCCCGCCCGCTCTTGCGCAAGATGATTTACAGTATGGCGTCAGAGGAGAGGGGCTCTTTTCTAACAAGTGTAAGCCCTCTTGCGCAAGAGTTCTTGCACAAGAGGGCAGTGTAGATGTGCAGCAGGGGTTTCTTGAGCAAGAAAACCCTATGGCTAAAATGGCCATCAGAGCTTTCTTGTGCAAGAGAACGACCACATTGTCATGGATGCTCTTGCGCAAAAGCACATGGCAGTGTGGACGTGTTCTTGTGCAAAATGTTCTTGTGCAAGAACCCACCAGTGTAGACATAACCAAAGGGTATCTTAATCAGTCAGCTGGTGGAGTGACTGGGCAGAAAAAGAAAGAGGCTGAGTAGAGGCAGTATAATTGTAATGGTAATCTCAACTCTGTTCCTAAACAGCCATTAATAAAACCAGTGCAAGGGGTACTGAGTATGAACCCCTTGTTCATCAAGTGCCCCCTCTTAGGGGGTAAAAAAATCACCTAGCTGGGGTTAAGTTAACAGTATCCAGTGATAGGAATGAGCTCCATCAGGTGGTGCTGCCTAACAGGCTTCTCAATGCATATACCTAATAGTGATGTCTTTGGAGCATGTCTAAACTAGCACTGGCATGGATTTTTCACAAAGAAATGGAAAACGTGAAAATCGTTTTCATTTTGCCAGCTTAGAGTAGCTTTTGCTTATTCAAAATTCTTGGTGTGATTTTTTTAATATAACTTTTATTTGTTGAAAATGTGGGGTTTTCTGGTTTTCAGAGCTTTTCCCTCATCCCTAAACACGCGCGTGCACACGCGCACACACACACACACATACACGGAGTTTTTCCTTTCCCCCTTATTATCCCCTTTTTTATTGCTATTAAATGGCAGTAGACTCTATACAAATCTATAGCCAACTGGCTATTAGACTGTATAATAACAGAAAACCCCACAGTGAAACCTCCACAATCCATACAGTGATCAGAGACCATTTATTTCTACATATCCTTGAAGCAGTTTCATCATAAGGCCAAGACCATATATCACATCATGTACCTCACCAAGAAAGGTACCTTGGGATTCTTAGAGTTATTTGTTATAAAACACAGAAACTATAGAGGGCCTCATTCTCCCTCATTGCACAACAGTGTGACTCCCCAGTTACTCCTGACAGCAATATACGGGAGTAGACAATTGGGCCCCAATTCACATTTAATCTCAATACAAAATGAAGCAAAAGAAATTCCCAGGCTCCCTACTTGCTTCTTTCTGATGAAGTTACAGTGGAAATGGTCTGTTTGGGGGAAGGCAACTTCCCTAGAGAGCTGCCTTGCTGTTCATATCAATTGGGTTTACCACTGTTTTAGAAGGTTTCTAAACTATGGCACTTGTGCATTAGCATAATTCAAAATGATCTGGAAAAACTGGAGAAATGGTCTGAGGTAGATAGGATGAAGTTTAATAAGGACAAATGCAAAGTGCTCCACTTAGGAAGGAACAATCGGTTTCACACATACAGAATGGGAAGCAACTGTCTAGGAAGGAGTACTGCAGAAAGGGAGCTAGGAGTCATAGTGGACCACAAGCTAAATACGAGTCAACAGTATGATGCTGTTGCAAAAAAGGCAAACATGATTCTAGGATGCATTAACAGGACTGGTGTGAGCAAGACACCAGAAGTCATGTTTCCCCTCTACTTTGAACTCATAAGGCCTCAGTTGGAGTATTTTGTCCAGTTCTGGGCACCACATTTCAAGAAAGATGTGGAGAAATTGGAGAGGGTCCAGAGAAGAGCAACAAGAATGATTAAAGGTCTAGAAAACATGAACTATGAGGCAAGACTGAAGAAATTGGGCTTGTTTAGTTTGGAAAAAAAGAAGACTGAGAGATAGCGGTTTTCAGGTATCTAAAAGGGTGCCACAGGGACGGAGGGGGAGGAAATTGTTTGCCATTGCCTCTGATGATAGGACAAGAAGCAAAGGGCATTAATTGCAGCAAGAGAGCTTTAGGTTGGACATTAGGAAAAACTTTCTACTGTCAGGGTGGTTAAACACTGGAATAAATTGCCTAGGGAGGTTGTGGAATCTCCACCTCTGGAGATATTTAAGAGCAAGTTGGATAGACACCTATCAGGAATGATCTAGACAGTGCTTGGTCCTGTTGTGAGGTCAGGGAACTGGACTTGGTGTCCTCTCAAGGTCCCTTCCAGTTCTAGTGTTCTATGATTCTACCATACCAGCAAGCATTCACTCAAAACCACCTAGGGAAACAAACATCTTCATTGTGCCGTGTCAAAATGCATTAGTCTCCCGAGTGACCTATAAAGCCACACCGTACTGTCTCTCATTTTTCCTTTGCACATGCTTCCCCATGTCCTCATCTCCTTTTGTCATTTGGGCCTTGACATTATTCACTGTGACTCCACAGGCACAAAGGTTTGTGCTTGCAGATAAGTATCTAAGGGTATGTCTACACTACAGCGCTAATTCGAACTAACTTAGCTCGAATTAGTTAATTCGAACTAAGCTAATTCGAACTAACGGATCCAGACTAAAAAACTAGTTTGAATTAGCGTTTTGCTAATTTGAA